ACTTCATCTGGTTCCACAGCCTGCTTTGCTGGCTGAGGGCACACAATATAAAGCCATGTCTTAACTTGTTTTCCAGAATCAGAGGAGAGTTTAACATAACAAAATTTTATAGCTCCTGCCCAGTAACATATATTACTTAAAAAAATAAAAATACCTTTCCCTTATCATGCATTATTCTTTTACATGTACATTTTTCCTGACGTATTGAAGTAATATTCCATGGTTTGCTATGACTTGGAGGTTTATGGCCCTTCTGTGGCAGATCAGACTAAACATAATTCATTCATAGCTACTTACTGCTCAGGGAAATAAACCCCTGAACTTAAATAACTATGGTGTGACCTCTGTAAAATATTATTTACGGCTTTAAAACTACTATTATGTAGATATCAAGATGTGCCAAATGTTATAAACCAAATACCAGCCAGCAAATGGGACAACTACTATTCCATTTATTTTTTCCTTCCTTTGTGGATATTTCTCTGCAAATACTACTTTTGTTTAAAAGGATTCTGGGGTAATTACCTGGCAGGGGAAAGCAATGTTCATTACATTTTATTATAGATTATTACAGTAAGTAAAAAATTCTCTTTGATAAAGAAGCACCACAAAATGTAAACATTCATTAACATACTGCAGTTTAATAGGAAAGATATTGATTACTTTTGAGCATAAAGTAACTAGCCTCACTATCAGTGGACTAATGTAACCCATCTGCTATTCATTTCTGCAAATTAGTTTATGGAGGGAAAACCTGACTGTACATTTAAGTTATCCAGATGGGAACTCTACACTGAGCATTTCCATGCTGTCAAGAATACATGTGCATTCTCAGCACTCTAAGATTTTCAATGTTTAGAGTGCCATCTCTACATCTTACATTATTAGATGCATCTCTGCATCTAATAATTTCCTGAATTATTTCCTATGCATTCAACTATATTGTAGGAAATAAAATGTGCAATAATAATAAAGTAATGGAGTCACTGGTTTACTAGCTGTCATTCAAAACATGTTTGAGGATTCATCATGTGCTGGTTATGGGACTTGGCACTGGCAATAAGAAAGATGAATGAGAAAAAAATTCTCAGCTCTCATAAAACTAGAAGCCTGAATATGGAGATAGATAAATGAATAATCAGCTTCTAGGCAACATGGCAAATGCTCCGAGAAAGAAATGGTATAAGTACCAAGAGATGAGTAGGCTAAGGACAAGGTATGGAAGAGGCAAAGAAGACTTGGAAGGAACTTCACAGAGGATGAAAACACGGAGTCAAGTCTTAAGGAAGAATGAATGAGCAGATTCTGGTGGTCACGTGGAGAAGCAAGACCAGCAAGAGTAAAGACACAAAGGTTAGGGCCTCTTCAAATCATTCAATATGACTGGAATTTGGTGGGGTGTCAGAGGAAAAGTGGATGAAGACTTAGAATGCGGTCAACCATGAAGGTTTGTATGTCCTGCTGAGGACTTTACTTTCTCCTGTAGGCTGTGGGTGGACATGAGTAACTTTGCATTGAGGGGTAACATGATGAGACTTGTGTTTTGTGTAGCTCATTGTGGCTGTGATGTGGAGTATAAACTGGAGCCCAGTTACGAGGCTCCTCCAACTTTCAGATGAGAAATAGCAAAGCCCTGGGACAGGACAGTGATAAAGAGAGAACTGACTGAAAATGCATTTGGGATATAGAAGTAACAGGATCTGACAACTAGGTCAATGGAAACAGAAAGGGAGAGATCAAGGAGGCAGTTCAGGGGTCCTTGAGGAGATAGAGGAGTCATTTTCAGCATCTGATGCTGTTCTTAGAAGGACAGGTTTGGAGGAGTAGCCAGTGAAGTTAGTATGGTCCACACAGAAGTTATGATACCTATAGGGAGGGCATTCACATGTGTTGAAGAGGATTTTGGGAAATGTGAGATTGGAGAGAAGTTAGGGTTGGAGACAAAGATTATGCCACTTATATATGTGATGTTCAGTAATGTTTTAAAGTTTCATGAAAGTGAATATATGAGCTAATTGGCTCCTCTAAGTAAAACTTAAGACCACAATTGCGTTGTTTGCAAATTACATTGAAATTACAGATAAGTCTTCATCTTCAAGACCTGAAGGAAAAAATGAAAAAAATAGAAGTGGTTTTACATGTTGTCACTTAGTATGAATAGGAAATGTTTCCTTTCCCATTTTGGATTCTTTAACGAAAATTGGAAATGTCTTTTACTTATTAAAATTATAACAAGAATTAATCTTCCTTTGAAAATACTCACAGTCTATTTCAATGATTGTCTTTCCCTCATCCAGAAGTTATGTTTTCTTTTATTTTAGAACATTACTTAATTTTATAGAGTTCTGTACAAAACTGAGCAAAATAGAAAGGAATATATTTCTACCTTATTGGTCTTGATGACTTTCTAAAACCTCATGCATTTTGATGGATAAGATTAATGAGACCACATAGTGTTAACCACCTTGGACTTTCAGAACAAAGGACTTTTAGAAGAACAAAGTATCGTTATTAATGAAGCATCATTTAGTTTTCATTGGTAATGTAAGGTTCCAGCCACTATAATGGGAACTTAGTTAAGAGCTCAATGTAGAGGGCAAGGCTATTAGCTAAGGTTCTTGACAGTAATACCTTTTGCTCCCAAGGAAAAAGATAAATCACACTCAAATTGATCAAAAAGACCAGCCAAGGGGTTCAAAAGGAGGTGAGCCACCATTCGCTTACTAAATTTCTCAAAGGCCTTGTCATCAGTGGCCCTGGAGGTGAGCCCTGCCCTAGTCATGGGTTCCACTTGCTGCCAATCCCTTGCCTTCCAGGTATCCTGCTCCTCCAGAAAAATGCCTCATGCTTCAGACCTCATCTTTCCCTTTATTCTCCACTCCTGTCTTCCAACAGCCCTCAAAGTTCATGTTGGGTTTCATTGCCGCAGGATTTTCTCTGTCCTTGGTGTGCTCCGGTGACCTAATTGACATGAGTACCACTAATGACGGCAATCTTAATGCAAGGTGGCAAAGCGGTGGGGAAGCATTTTTCCTGAATATGTTTTGTCAGTGTATTCACTAACAACCAAGGCAATAATAGAGGATGCCTGTGTACATAACATCAACACTATTAGAAAAGTTTGCAAATTCCTGACAAACTACTGCTCTTATGTAAGAATCTCTTTGGGACCTTAATGTACTTCAGGTTCATGAAGACCTTCTTACCAACTCTTTTAAAACTACTCTGTTTTGGTTGAAGGAGACTTAAGAGACATTCTCTTGGGGGAAAAAAATAAAAATTAATTGTTTTTTTAATTGCAATTTAAAATCAGCCAGTTCTGTTTTAGGTAGAGAGAAGGAAAAATCTGGAACGCAAAGAAATAAAAATAAAAGAAGAGGGAATTTACTTTTTTTTTTTTTTTAAAGACAGAGTCTCACTCTGTCACTCAGGCGAGAGTGCAGTGGTGTGATCTTAGCTTACTGCAACTTCCGCCTCATGGGTTCAAGCAATTCTCCTGCCTCAGCCTCCCGAGTAGCTGGGACTGCAGGCACCCAGCACCACACCCTGCTATTTGTATTTTTAGAAGAGGTGGGCTTTCACCATGTTGGCCAGGGTGGTCTTGCTCCTGACCTCAAATGATCCATCTACCTTGCCTCCAAAAGTGCTGAGATTACAGGCATGAGCCACTGCCCCTGGTCAGGAATTTACTTTTTGATTACTTATATGCCCTTGGACTTCGTATATCCAAGGCATATAGGGAATGAGTTGATGACCTTGCAGCTCTACCAGCAACTCTGAGAGTTATGCAAGATTGTTGAGATCTCCAATGACAGGAAGAGGGCAACAGACTTAAGGTACAGTAGAAAGGGTTGTGGTTATTTATATATTATGAAGCCATATTTGTTCTAAAGGAAATTCCAGACTATTAGTCTGTTTCTGATTTTTAATAATTACATAGGCCAGGTGCGGTGGCTCACACCTGTAATCCCAGCACTTTGGGAGGCCAAGGTGGGCAGATCATTTGAGGTCAGAAGTTCAAGACCAGCCTGACCAACATGGTGAAACCCCATGTCTATTAAAAGTACAAAAAATTTAGCTGGGCATGGTGGCGGGCGCCTGTAATCCCAGCGACTTTGGAGGCTGAGACATGAGAATCTCTTAAACCGGGGAGGTAGAGGTTGCAGTGAGCTGAGGTCACACCACTGCACTTCAGCCTGGGCGACAGAGTGAGACTTTATCTTAAAAAAAAAAAAAAGTATACACACACACACGCATATATAATAATTTTATAGTGAGCAAAATTGGTTAGTTGATTTGATTGTGGAGATACCTGGAAAATCTTTCTTGTCATATTATCGTTTTCATTTTTTTTAACCATCTGAGGAAATACAGTGACATATTGGTTTTAGGAACTCTCACCAATTACTTTAGTTTTCTTTTGTTTGTGCTTTTATTTTACAAAGTTAGGTGAAAGCTCATTTCCAGTCCAGTTGTTGAGGTTCACTCTTTGCTATCTCACTTGCAGAAGATCCCTCTAGCTAGGGAACATTTACTGGGCACCATGGGAATTCAGGCCAAGAAGGCTGAGACACCAGACAAAATGCCACAGCACAGGGATCATTCTAGGAAAATGTTTCACATTTCAGTTTTAAAGTTTCTGCTGTTTTATAGTCCAGAATACCCAGTAAGTAACTGCAATTTATAATTAAAGTAAAATGCAGAAGACTACTATCATCACATTCTTTGATAACTTTGATACTACAAAAAATTTTAATTGACATTTATTAAATGCAAACCATATTTGAGGACTAACTATATACATGTTGAGGTTGATTAAGTTCAAATTCTGTTTTAAGAAGTTAACAATAAATTGAGTTCATTTTAACTGAGTGTTATTATAAAAGATGGTTTTCTTGCTGCAAAATGAATCTACTATTAAGAAATTACCAAAGTGGCTGGTGCTGTTTGTGCCTTTAAGATCATAGTTCAAAAGAATTAAGCAAACTTGATAACAAGGGTAAAACAAACATAACCTTTATTCTCTCTCAAAACCCAGAGAATAGGGCCTGGAGCCATATTCATTAATTTAAACAGAATCAGAATACCTTAACTTTCATGGTTTCACGTAAAATTTTATAGCAGTAGATTGATAATTCTAAAAATAACAAAATACATGTTTCTCTCAACTACATAGTAAAAAAAATGTAGTAATTTCTGTTACCCAAAATAGAGGAGGGCTGGGCTAGTAAGCCACTCAAACATTTGTAACAAATAAAAACTTCTCTATGTACATATAATGGTCATATTTTCATAGCATAAAATCACCATACAAAATCTAATAATAAAATTATGTCGTGTTTAGGAGTTTGGAAGCCAATACATGGAATTAACAAAGTACTTTTTGGTATCTGTAAATAATGGGATAGACTCTTTTAAATCAGGACTGTCCCAGAAATTTTAGGGCAGATGTCAGTGACATGCACACTGTCCATTGTTCAGAATTTTCAAAGAACTAGAATAAACTATGTAAACTATTCAATACAATTCAATATTACTTAAGTGCTTAAAAAAAGTACTTCAAGATCTTGCACTGCCTTAAGTGAATGAGTATAATCAAATGAGTAGTAACTGGAAAATAGCTGTAATAGCAGGCACTGAAGGATTCTGACAAATACCAAATAATTGTTTGCTTTTAGCAAATAAACTGGTAAGATGATATCACAAAGGGCTTTTTTCCCTTTTGCCATACAAGGTTTTTTTTTTTTTTTAAATAAAGCTATTGCTCCTTGGAATAACTTTAACCATATTGACTGATGTTAGTCAATCAACAAAATCAGCTGAATGCTTTTAGTTGAGTTTTAATGTCATCTCAAAGATTCAAATAATCTTGATTCTAGTTTACATATAAGACTATATATGCCTTTGCCTTGATTGAAATATGATTACTAGACATCAACAGATTTCATTTGAAAACATAAATTTTTTTTCCAGATCCAAGGAAAAAGATTTGAATGAAGCCCTTTCTAATCACACACACACACACACACGCACACACACACAATTAAATGACAAAGAAGAATGAGCTAGGAGACATAGATGTGACTTTAGGGAAATTACTCTCCCTCAAAGATCTCTTCCAGCTATCTGATTACTATGTAAAGCATTTCCTCTGAACTGTACAAACTGGTCTCACATTTCCAAGTTTCTGCACAGTACCTGAATTTTATACTGAAATATCAAATGAATAACATAAACCCTGACTTACAAATCTGTATGCCAACTAGTTTTCCCCAGATAGTGATTTTTTAAAAATTCATTCAAGTCATCAAGAGCTTCCTACATTCAAGGCAGAGTGCCAGACCAAACCTGGAATATCATGGTTGTCACTGCCCCTGGGAACAAACTGCTATCGGAAAAAGTGAACTCAGGTGACTGCCCAACCTGGTTTAGGGTCGTGATTCCCAAATTTGAGAGAAAATGGGTATCTCCAGAGGAGTTTGTTAAAACACAGCTTCGAGGGTGTCACCCCAGCCTTACTGTGTCTGAATCTCTAGTTGGGTGTCTCCTAATCTAGCTGCATATTTGACAAGTGTATTCTCTCTCTCGCCTCCATGTCTCTTCAGGTCATGTGTGGGCCTCACTCTCCATTCCAACCCTCTCTCCAAAAAGAAAAGAACACCACCACTGTGCTGTAGTGACAAAAGCTCTGGACTCAAGAGTCAGCAGTCATTTGCCAGTTGCCTGATCTTAGTTACTTCACATTGCTAGGTCTCTCAATCTCTTTCTCTAATAGGGGTTGAACAGGAGTCTTCATAGGGATCCCTTCCACTCTCAGATTGAAGAACCTAACACGGCAACTCGGTGTCATGAAGGAGGTGGGGAGAATTTGCATGGATGTTTTACTCTGTAGTCAACATCCCTCCCCACAGCAAGACAGGCTAGCAAGCCCCACAAGGGCAAGGGGGTAATTCCTTTCTCTGGTCCCCTCATTCACAAAGGGAGGAAAAGCGAGGTGAGGTTGGAATCGGATGAGGGGCGAGGGGGAGATGCCAAAAGAAGCTCGCAAGAGTTTTGGCAAGAAGCAGGAAGGGTCCCTAGAAAGCTGGAATCACTCGTCGTCGTCGTCATCATCGTCCTGGTCCTGGTAGCGAATGTAGACGACCAGCATGACAAAGCCAGTGAGGATGCAGAGGGAGCCGACGACCAGGTACGCGATGCCCAGGAAGGGGTTCTTGCCGCCCATCCACGAGATGCTGCTGAAGATGAGGAGCTTGTGGCCGCCGAACGCGCGCACCGGGTAGTTGTAGGTAATATTGACGCGGTAGGCGCCCCGCGGCAGCCCGGCAGAGTAGTTGCCCTGGCGGATGCGCGCGTACAGCTTGCGAAACGTGGGCAGCGCCGCCGTGCGCATCCACACCACGAAGTCCTGGTTGATGAAGCCGGTGTTGTTGGGGTCGGGGCTGAGCTCGTAGACCGGCCGGCGCCAGTTGGGCGGAGGCACCGTGCCTTGGAAGGCCAGCGCCAGGCTGCCGTTTACCAGCGGCGGGTTGCGGAACTTGACGTGGTAGTCAGTCCACCAGGCGATGCCGGAGCGGTCGAGCGGCACCTCGACGTAGGGCCCGCCAGACTGGCGCTGGTGCCACAGCGAGAAGGAGTCGTTGAAGAGGCTGTTGGCGATGGCGCCGCAGGGCGCGATGGGCAGGCCGGCTGCGCTGCGCTGGTAGGGGGCGCACTCGTTGGCCGGGTGGCGCAGCGCGCTGGGCATTCCGCTCAGCTGCTCGTCGTCGCGGGACACGCCGTAGCGCCGGTTGTTCTGGTAGAAGTTGGTCAGCTCGTAGTAGAGGTAGACGGGGCCCTGGAAAAGCTCGGGCAGCGAGAAGTACCAGGCGCACGAGCAGGGGGGCGGCGGCGCGCGGCCCTCGCCGGCCGCGGAGCACACCGAGCAGTTGCCGGTGCCCTGGTCGCCGGTGTAGTCGTACTCCAGCTCCTTGATGCCGTTGGAGGAGTAGTAGAGGCCCAGGCCCAGGCCGATGAAGGCCAGGCCCGCGCAGAAGAAGAGCGGCAGCGCGATGCTGGCCGACAGCAGCGGCTGCCAGGCGGGGAGGCGCTGCTGCGTGAAGGCGGTGTTGTCCGGCTGGTGGGCGCCCCGGGCCGTGGCGCTCCAGGTCATGGCGGCCACGCTGGGAGTCCGACGAGCGTGCTTACCAGGGGGGGGCCCGCCGCGGGGCGCCTCCCCCTCCGCGGCGAGTTAGCCGGGGGATTGCTCACGGACTGGGTTTCCCGCCGGCCCAGGTGGGGTTTTGCCCGAGCCTCGCCTCTGCCTCCCGCACAGGTGAGTTTAGTTCCAGGTCCCACGGGCAGTGCCCACCCTCCCCTCCCCCCAGTTCCGCCTTGGCCCAGGTGTGCTCCGCCCCCGCGGATCACCGGGAGCCAAACCTCGCCCGCCCTTTCCGAGGTGAGCTTGTGGGTGTGTTATTTTTTACCTTACCCGGTAGACTCAGGCTCGCCTTTCCTCTCCGTCCGGGTCAACGGACTCCAGCTCCTCCTCTCCGAGGTGAGTGGCGGTCCCGGGTGCCTCTGAGTGGCTCATACCTGGCTCGAGTATCACCTTCCTTTCCGCCTTCCAAGTGACTAGAGTTCCTGGGCCAGTCTCCCGAAATCAAAAGGCGCTCCGGCCTCCAGCAGAAATTTTTGCTGAGGGCTAGCACCGAGGTCCTGGCAGCTTGAAGATTTCAGATTGTTAATCCTGCTTTATTTGCGGGGAAAAGGTGACTCTAGACCATTTTGTCTTTAAGGTTAGCTTCAGAAACGCCTTTTGTTCAGCTTTCAGTCTCAAGTTGGAGTGTCCAGGGAATTACACTATGCTAGATCTGTTTCGAATTCAAGGCCTGCGTTCAAATTTTAGCTTTTTTTTTTTTTTTTTTTTTTAAAGGGAAAATGATTTTCTGGCCAGATCACCCAGTCTGGCTGTATAACTAGGAAATGTGGAAAGTTCTCTAAAAATAAAATGATCCTTAAAAAGAATCAAAGACTGGAGAGGTTCAGAGCCTTTAAATAACTCTCTAGCTAGTGTAGAAACCAAGAAAGGAGAAAAATATGCTGGACTACATGTGATTTCTTTTTCTTTTCAGAATATTTGCCTGACTAGAAAAAGGTCCAATCCAGGGTCCCAGAAGACCTAGCTGCTATCCTCAAAGACATCTGGAGTGTCTGGCCTAAGGAGGTGAACTACAAGGGTTTATAGGATTTATTATTAAAAAGAACTCAAATTGGCTCCCTACGTTGCCTGGGATTCTGGCTTTTTTATTATTTTTTTTCTTTTTAAATCTAAGTTGGTATAACACATACAAGGGAGTACTGGGACATTCTGATTTCTTACTAAGTCTTATCTAGGTATTATGTTCTTGCTTCTCTTCCAGCTTGTAAAATGCAAGTAATACAAATGTTTTCTCTATTACACTACATCTAGTGTAATATATTGTATCCAGAAGTCATTCAAAACCCATTGAAACTTGGAAAGTTAAAATGCTTGTTAAATTGAACAACACGAATTTTGTTTGCATCTCCCAAGTAAGTGTTCAGTCCTATGCTAATTAGACAAAAAAGAATCTTGACCTCAAGGCATTTGCAGTCTGATAGGGGACATATTAGGAGTAAGAAACAATCAAAACAGCCAATAGTAGTTATTAATCATAGCATGTAATTATCAAATTGCACTTTATAAGTCACACTAAAATTAAAAAGTAATACCGTTTTAAATAATGGAACATTGATTCCATTTTGTTGAATGAATGCAAGTTGGAAACGAGGTATTAGAGAAGACTGAGGGAAATTCAAGTGACATGAATTGAATTCCCTCACTTCTTACATCCCAAGAGAGGAAGTTCCAAAATTCTCGGCATGCGCCCATAGTGTGATCCAGTCTTCATTCACCCTTTTTTTTCAATAAAAGAATAAACAGTTCTTTGTATCATTATGGTTGAGTTCCACCCACCCCTGTATCACCGAATCACTAATCCACAACACTAGTCTCTAGGAAGGAGTTCCATTTTCACAACTTTATTTTTTTTATTTTTATTTTTGCCAATCAGTGTGAGCCTTGAACTCATGACCTCACCTTCGCAAGCGCCACGACATCCGGCCGGAGCCACTTTCAAGGAGAAAGATTGTTTTTAGAAATGTGTGGAAAGGGAAGAAGAGAAAGACAAGTGGTAACGGTCTAGAAGAGCATGTATTCTAAAGGAAAGCCTTCTTTTATAGATGGCAGAGAAGTGTTTATTCTGAGGGAAAAAGAAAATAGTGCAGATGAAGTTGAAGAGAGGGGTGGCAAGCTCACTGATGGTGCAAAGGCAGAAGCAGGCTGGAGACGCTGATCCACCGGTCAGAGCCACTGGTTTCAAAGAACAGGTGCAGGGTTATCCTACCTCTGAAATGAGAGGGCAGGGTGATAAAAATGCCCTCTGCAGAATGCAACTGGACATTAGGCTCCCGCACCTCAGGCTGGGAGAAAGAAATGACTGAATGTGACCAGCATATGGTGGTTTCCAGGGCAGATGAATTTGAAAGATAAAAATTCAAGATACTGCAGTCCTTGTGGAGGGGCGGCTAAAGTGATGGGCCTTAGTAGTTAATCTGAATGGTGAAGAAAATGAAACCAAGCCTGTGGATCAAAAGAAAAAGAAGGTACTGGTAGATTGGCAGTCCTAATGATGTTAATTGGCAGGTGCCATGAAAGCTGGAAAGATAAAGTGCTTGTATGAGATGGGGTGTTAAAGATCTTGGAGGTGAAGCTGTACCAAGTTCCATATATACACTATATTTCCCCTATCAGCTCGTAAGTTCCGAGAGGCAGAAGACTGATATACATTGCTGTGTTCCTCAGGGTTTACTATGTAAGGTTCAGATCTCACGTCTCTCATTTTGTTACACAGGTTATGATGTATTAAAGGACACTTGGATCTTTAGTAAAATAAGAAACAAGTTCACTCTAAACAATTCTTTTTTGTATCAGTATTATTCAGAGAACTCAAGAAAAGAAAAAAGTCATTTCTAGTCCAAATACTGCTAAAATCACTTCATTTTGGCAAAGTGTGGTGGCTCGTGCCTATAATCGCAGCACTTTGGGAGAGTGAGGTGGACAGATCATGAGGTCAGGAGTTTGAGACCAACCAGGCCAACACAGTGAAACCCTGTCCCTACTAAAAACACAAAAAAAATTAGCCGGGAATGGTGGTGTGCACCTGCAGTCCCAGCTACTCGGGAGGTGGAGGCAGGAGAATCGCTTGAACCCTGGAGGCAGAGGTTGTGGTGAGCCAAGATTGTGCCACCGCACTCCAACCTGGGCAACAGAGCAAGACTTCATCTCAAAAAAAAAAAAAAAAAATCCTTTTTTTTTTCATTTTATCTCCTGGATTTTATCCATGTAAATATTTAATTTTTAATTGGTTATAATTAAGATATATACACAGTTCTTTGAGTTGTCAAATTACCTCCTTTTGGAATGAGATGAAGAATGAAATAAATATTTTCCATGTTCCTTAATGGTGCCATTATTCATAGGTCTATCATATTTAACTATTGTTGGACATATAGGTTATATCCAGTTTTTCAGTATTCCAAAGAATGTGATAATGGTCATCTTTTTTGCATATAACCCTTTTGTAAAACTTCGTGTCTCCTCTTCCGCCAACCTTTTCTTTCAGATTTTTTTCCTTAGGATACATTTCTAAAAGTAGGAAAGGAAACTAAAGGTCAAACTCTTTAAAAATACATTCTGCTAGAGTCATATTCACATGGCCACAACAATGTATATACTTTGCCAACAAAACCAAAAGCTAACCACAGAATATATTTAGTCTATTGCTAATAAACTCTCAGATACTAGGAGAATAGTATAGGATAGGGGAAAGAATGCTGACCTGAACTTAAGGAAGTTCAGTTTCTACCCTAGAAGTTCATTAGGATATAGCTATGTGACCTTGGTCAAATTGCTTAACTTCTCTGTTCTCATGATTGCTTATCTGTATGAATGTGTTTACCAAAATGATTGATAGTGTGTCTTTTTTAAGCAAAGATTTCTGTTCCTAGTCTTCTCTTCCTTACGATGACTCATTGATTAATAGCTAACATTTATTGAGTGCCTTCTGTGAGCCAGTGCTTTCGGTCACTGTGTAAGCACATTATATACGTTGTCCTGTCTAATTCATACACAAATGGGGGCATTCGGTACAATTATCATACTCAACTGATGCAAAACTAAGATTGAAGCCAGTGCAATGGAGGCTGCCCAAGTTCTCATAGTTGTAATGGGGAGATGAGCAATTCAAAGGTCAGCCTCATCCAGCATCCTGCATCTTCAACCACACTACACTGTAAGGCCTTGGCATATTTCCTCCTAAAAAAAACTCCAAAAACGTTAACCTTGAACCAGTGTTGATTGTTGCAAATCTTCTCTTAACACCTCAAAGATAAGCAAATTCTGTTCCATTTACACAGTCCCAGGAACAGCTGAGTTGCGTGTATTTTTGTTTTCACAAAAGCTTTTGCTTTTGTTTAGCATGCTCGTTTCTCTTGCTAAAATAAAAATAATTTCACTTGTCTGGCTGTTCTCAGTTTTTGCATTTATTTCATTTAATTCATGACTATTTATCTTACTGTAACAGAACCTGGGTCTTTAATTGGCATTCCTTTATATAGGTTTATACTGCTCAAGATTGTTGCCTATTACTCTGCCCATGGGGCAGCTTTTATTTAAAAAGAATCAAATTAAATTGCTTCGTAAAATTACAGCATGTCCTCAGAAAAGTTTTAAAAAAATTCAGTGTGCCTGGACTTCATTTTTCATTAAGAACTGCATTCAGCAGACTTCCAGTTTTAAAAGTTATGGAGTGGTACCCCCTAGTGGAAGAGGCAGAGAAACTTTAGTTAACTAGCACTGTAAGCACAGAGGCACAAAAGACAGAAGCGAATTCTCTCCACTCCTTGCTGTGGTGTGTTGGTTCTTTGTCACTAACTTACTGCAAAACAGTGGTCAAAGAGAGGGCGAACTATGAGCACAGCTGGGTGGGTTGAGTTGCAGGGGGCAGTATAAAGTGAAAAATGGGACTGAGATAGATAACAGTAGGTCTTCAACAGCAGAGGTATTAGGTATGGGATGGCCAGACTAAAAGACAGTTGGCAGGGCACAGTGGCTCACACCTGTAATCCCAGCACTTTGGGGGGCCAAGGTAGGTGGATCACTTGAGGTCAGCCTGGCCAGTATGGCAAAACCCTGTCTACTAAAAATACAAAAATTAGCCAAGTGTGGTGGCACGTGCCTGTGATCCCAGCTACTCAGGAAGTTGAGGCAAGATAATCGCTTGAACCTGGGAAGCAGAGGTTGCAGTGAGCTGAGATCACACCACTGCACTTCAGCCTGGGCAACATGCAAGACTCCATCTCAAAAAAATAAAAAATGGATAGGATGAGACTTGAATTATGTGGGAAGAGTTTGGCTGTAGGGGTTGTGCTTGGTGAGTTGGCAAGAGAGAGACCCCAGAATAGGCAGCAGACAAGTTAGGTGACAGAATTGAGACAGAGGGCAAGAAAGAGCTCTGTACTGGAACGAAGAGAGGGGGTTGACTCAAAACTGAATTAGGGCTGCACTCAGTGGCTCATGCCTGTAATCCTAGCACTTTAGGAGGCCAAGGTAGTTGGCTCACTTGAGGCCAGGAGTTTGAGACCACCAGCCTGGCCAAAATAGCAAGACTCCATCTCTATTAAAAATATAAAATTAGTGCATGCCTGTAATCCCAGCTACTCAGGAAGCCAAGGCATGAAAATTGCTTGAACCTGGGAGGTGGAGGTTGCAGTGAGCTGAGATCATGCCACTGTGCTCCAGCCT